CCTGCTGAAAGAAGGTTTGGTTTGATTCCTCCAGTGTTTAAGGAAAGAGGGCCTAGAACACCCCTTTCAGTTAACAGGATTCTATCAACAGGCACCTGATCCCACACCAATTTCTTCTCCTAAGTGGAAAAACCTGCAGCCCTCTATTATATAACTGGGGGGGAGGGCTGGTGCAGAAGCAGGATTCAGTTTTTAAAGAGTAATTTTCACTTGCAGTGGAAGTGTTCAGAGGAAAGCAAACATCATGACCAGGACGAAGTAAATCAAGATCTCAAACACCTGGAGAGTTCACAAAAAATTAAAACAAGAACTAGAGACTTTGCAAAAAAGAATGAATGCAATACCTGGACTCTTCCCAGAGATTTCTCAGACATAACCTAAGGGGAGTTAGGGGAGTAACTACAAAATGTCAAACTGGGCAGCATTAAAGGTCCTAATAAAAAACCCCAGTTTAGAATGGTAAGATGTATTGAAAGGTATGACCAGAAGCCTGATATCCCCAAAGGAAAATATTTTTCAGGAAGCAGGTGAGACTGAAAAGTTTTGGCCAGCTTGGCACTTATTAACAATAATCAACTGCAGGAAAATTGTGATTGCTTAGATTTAAAATAATGAATTCAAATAGGTTCTTTACTTCCTTAATTATCCTCATAGCCCTTCTCTTTATTTGTTCCCATCTCATGAAGGGAGAATAGATGTTCAGCTAACCAAGCCAAGCTCTAACCAGAGGTTGTTGACAGGAGATCTTTATAATTATCAGAGAAGGGGAAGAACTCCTTAAAATAAAGAATTAGACGGGTACAAGATCAAATGGGTATAAGTTTGCTATGAATACATTTTTAACTGATGATTAGAAGCTCTCTTCCAACCTCCATAGGACAGGAATTATGAAGTAGTTTTTGTCACAACCCAAAGTTGTGGTTTTTCTTGTTTGTGTGTGCTTCGGCATCGCTAAATCATGTTCCCGCCAAATTGCAGCTCTTTTGCACGGTGAAGCGTTCTATTGTAATTAAGAACCTGCGTGCAGGAGTTTTTCCCGCCAGTTCTGTAGCTTTCTTTGCATAGTGCATTTCTTTTGCATTACAGTGATGCACGATGCAAAGGAGTTCCTGCCATTTGTATTTAGATTCGTGCCACATTATTGGCCGGTTCTAAATGTAGGCATACGTGGCGGCTAGCTATTGGCTTGCTAGCCGTACAAAAGGCTTGGGTAGTTTCCGCCCAAGTCGGAGAGAGAGAAAGCACGTGGAGTTCGGGAAAGGAGCGTGAGGATTTCTAAGCGCTGCTGATCCCTACGAACCCAGCTTTTTCCTTAAGAGGGCAACAGAGGTTTAATTTGTCGAACCCATGGAGCTTCAACAACTCCGGGGGACCTATTTACCGAACCCTCGGAGCCTTAACAACTCCGAGGCACATAACCTCTAGCCTCTCCCCGTCGC